GGACAGTGATGCTGTGAAGCAATTGACACAGGAAGATTCCGAGGAAGATGATGAAAATTCTGATGATGAAGTTGATAAATTGGATGAGGTTGAGGGTGAGAGCGATGGGATTAGGATGGAAGGAGATAGTGATTCTAGTGAAGATGAGAAAGATCTAGATATGAAGGTTTTTGTTGGTGGGATTGTCCATAATGAGGATGATGTCTTATCTAAAGAGGATTATATCCGCTCACCAGCTGAAATTAGTGACACAGAAAAAGATTCTTTCATTTTACATATTCCTGGTATAGGTGGAAGTGAAGAAAGTTTGGCATCTAATGTCAAAGTAGCTGCTTTGGCAGCTCAAGGTGTTTCTGATCTCATGCCCTCTGATGTTGCCAAGGCATTTTTGGGCAGTGAGAAAATATCACCGAAGGTTAGCTAAAGACTGCATTTACTGTTTTCCGTTACACCTGTAAGAAGAAGATCTTGTATTGTATCTCAGAGTTTAACTCTATTTTTTTCTTTCCTGTTTCCACTCCTACCAAGCAAAGACTTGAAATCTCTGTTATCTACTTTCTCCTTAATAGATGAAGACTAACTATACACTGCTGAACCTGCCTTAGGTATCCAAGAATGTGCGTGAAATTGTTAAACTTGCAGTCAGTCAGGCACAAAAGAAGAGCAAACTTACTGAATACACAAAATTTAATAGAATACAGATTCCCAGAGGCAATTTAGATCCATTTGATGGTAAAGATTGCTATTTCTCACCCTTTGTAACATAGCATATTCGAGTTGGAATAGTGTTTTCAGATACAGTTTAATCATGGCATGCAGGATTATATGTTGGTTCTTTTGGACCTTATGGAACTGAGATAGTTCAATTAAGGCGCAAATTTGGTCACTGGAACAATGGGAATGAACTAGAGGACTCCTCAGGTATGGAGTTTTTCGAATATGTTGAGGCTGTTAAGCTTACTGGAGACCTTAATGTTCCCGCTGGTCAGGTTTGTATATTTCCCACTACCACAGATGCTTTTGTCATATCCTCCGACTATTTGTCTATTGTTTCTTGCATTCACTGTGTGAATCTTCCTTGCTTATATGTTTTGTGCTATCAGGTGACTTTCCGTGCTAAAATTGGGAGAGGGAGTCGTCTTTCCAATCGGAGCATGTATCCAGATGAACTCGGAGTGGTACTATTTTCTTAAGATGTGCAAAAAATTTGTGCTCACACAGGTTGGTCAACTATTATAAATTCGATAATCTATGATCTGCTTTTGTACAGGTAACAAGCTATAAAGGGCAAGGAAGGATTGCAGAATTTGGATTCAAGAACCCCAAGTGGGTTGAGGGTGAACTACTCCAACTGAATGGCAAGGTAATTATTGCAGGTTTTATACCATGAATATTGTTTGCAAGAGAACCAGAAGTGCCGTCCATTCATCCTATTTCCTCTTGAACGATTTGTTTCTTATGAGGTTGATTATGCAGGGTGTGGGACCTTATTTCCGAGGAGCAGATCTTGGTTTTCTCTATGTTGTCCCAGAGCAAAGCTTCCTCGTTCTTTTTAACAGGTTAAATCTGCCCGAGTGAGCTATTGGACTTCCATCTTTTTATCTTACATTTACACCCTTAGCTTAGAAAAAATATAGAAAGAGACTGTGAGAACATAAAGGCTGGTATGATACTGCCCTTGCTTCTGCGCCTTAGTACACAACATGAACAATTTTGCCACTCGCTGCACCCCTTGCTGCCACTACTGCTCCCACCCTCCCATCTGCGGACATCTTCAGCTCTTCAACACAATGTATCCGGATACTTTACAGCACATTAGTCTTTATTTATCATGTATGTGCATAGTCATTAACTATTACACTATATTGCTTTTATGATAAGGTGTGATACTTTAACCTCGTATACATACTTTAGATGACTTCTCCTCTTCTATTCTTTTCCCCTTTGGTAGATTTCAGTCTTTCAGAGATGTGATAAAAGTTTCAGTTATATTGGGCATGTAATATATTAGTATCATACAAAAGCTTCACATGATTAGGGCTTTTCTTTTTATTTATTTTTTTAAAATTTAATATTTTCCATTGAGATAACTTTTACCATTTTACCAATTTATCTGTTATATGCTGATATTATCAACTTTGGCTTCCAAGTTAGAAAGTCACACGTAATTGGGCTTACTTTCACTCCTTTATGCTATTTTTTATCAACAAATTATGTTTTAAAGCCCTTTTCTTGTAATAGGAAGCCACTGCCACGACATTTTTGTGTGCTACAAATTTTAAGATCTAGGAGTCAGTAGCGGCTCATGATTAAAACACTTTTTCAATTTTTGTAACACTTAGTACGTCTGGAAACAATTTTTTTTTTTTTTTTAAGAAAGAGTGATCAATAGATTCTAAAGTGTAATTGAGGAGACATAAGGGCATCTATTAAGTTTCGTAACAATTGACACGAATTTGACATTATAGTTAAAAATCAACATAAACTTGACAACTTCCTACGGCCAACAATACAAATATGTCATTGAAGCTCTAAAAATTTGTTAGAATAGTAATGTGATAAACACTTTTATTGCTATTAAGTTATTTAAAGCAAGCATACGTTTAGAAAATTTAGATACAAACTAGGATGATAAAATTAATGGTATGTATCAATTTAAATAATTTTGTATTCTGTTTGAATTACGTTAGTTTGGATTCGAATGTACGCTAAGTTCAAACACAATAATCTGAATAATAGTGCCCAACCTTTCGAATGAGTGAGTGGAGATATTTGTGGTCTTGTGGTTGGTAGACTAAAAGAATGTAAAGCACAAAAAAAAAAAAAAAAAAAAAAAAAAAAAATGATGAAATAATTGAAGGTGTAATCATCAATATAGACACAGCAAAAGAAGTTGGTAATAACTTTGTTAAAAGCACCTTGTGATTTGTGAATCTATTGTTCATTTGTTCAAGATGAAAGAAAAGTGGGAAACCATGCAAAAATAGTCTCAACTTCTTAAGTGGAAAGAATAAGATAAAAGCAAAACAATATGATTTTTTGGATTCTTTTTGTAATTTAAGACATCAAAAGCAGTTTTTCTTACTCTTTGTTTTTGTTTGTACTTTTTAGTGGTTAATTAAAGGGGAAAACTAGAGGATTTTAGTGCTAAAAAGTAAAGAAGATGATGCTTTTCTTTCGTGAGCCTTTTGGTATATACAATGTAGCTTATTAAAAATGTAGCATGTGGTCTAAGTTGAGGTAAGGTACCATATACCATTTGTGTTTTACTTAACCGCGTTGCATTGTGTTGGTGAAAAGAGTTGCAAATCACATATTCATCTATTTATAGTACCATGATGGCATGATGTACTTACATACTTATTTATAGGGATATTAAATAGATTAAGTGGTAAAAAATTTGCATTGGTGATCTCTTTATAGTCGATTTCTTATAATTAGATGGTCGGCTGACATGCAAAATATGAATGAAAGATTAAGGACAAATAACTCACTCATATTTTCAATTGCTATATATATATATATATATATATATATATATATATATATATATATATATATATATATATATATATATATATATATATATATATATCTTGGCAACACTATTATTTTTGCTAAGCTTAAAATTATTTTTGATGAGCTTATATTATTTATAGAAAATTTATATGACGCACCTTGTTGTTTAAATGAATGTACTAGACACCCTTATGATTTCATAAATGCATTAGCTAGCTTTAAGGTTTAATCAAAAGAAATTCACTCATACCCTCAAGCTACGTACATTCACTCAATCTACATCAATGAAAAAAAAAAAAAAAAAACCAACGAATCATTCATCAATGGTCATGAAAAATTAAGATTTGAAAGTTGATATAACCTTTATATTTACTTTCTCAACCTAATTATTCGTAATATGTAGTTGCATCCATCATGTTTGGGAGAGACAAAATGAACAAAAATGTAAATTAGAGGCTTAGAGCATTGAATGAGTAATGAAATTTAAATTGTAGCTTTTGCATGAGACCTGACTCATCATGAGTCAATATTTTTGACAATAATATTCTAATATATATATGACATTAATATTCTAATAGATGACAATAATATTTTAATATATGATATTTAAGGATGTGTTCTATTCACCTGATTTTCACTTATCTGAACTTATCTAAACTTACCTAAACTTTTGTAATTGAATACCCCTTATCATAACTTATTTCTCCTGAACTGAACTTATCTGAACTTATTACATCTGAAATAAGTGAAAATTAGATGAATAGAACAAACCCTAATTATCTAATATATGACATTAATAACCTAATAATCTAATGTCATAAATTAGATTATTAATGTCAGAGATTAGAATATTATTGTCATATATTAATATATTATAATATTATTGTCAGATATTAGATTATTATTGTCAGATATATTGGACTCACCGTGAGTCCGACTCATCCAAAATTTTTCGTAAAGGAAAAGGAGAGAGTAAGTGTTGGATATATTTGGTTTATATATGGAGTTGAAATCCTAATTTTATTGAAAAGAATAATCACCCTTTGGCCTTTGCGGTATGCACAAAATAATTCCCCTTTTGAGAAATTTGAAAATATCCCGCCTATAACACATTAACACCAATCTTCTCAAAATCGACAAACCAATCGTTTTGAGAAGATTGATGTTAAAAGTGGATTTGTTTCCATAGTTCTTAAAGACGATATTATTTTGAGCCGACTACTCAAGGTGGAATTATTTTTTTAATACCCTTTTATATTTGTTCTTTGAAATTATTTATTTTTACTACTAATAAATTGAATTTATCTTTTGTTGAATATCACATATTCCCTTTATTGATGAGGAGAACAAGACAATAATGGTTTAAATTATACTTCTACAAGAACAAATATAAACAAAGAATCTAATACAATTATTATTTAAAAAAAAAAATTAAAATGAAGGGAATAGTAAGGGAAAAATTAATTAATCAAAAGAAATTGATTAATAAGAACCCAAAATTTCTTTTTTTTTTTTTTCTGAAAAACGAACCCAAAATTTCTAAAACTGCTCCAATTTTATGTCAAACAGTCAAACAAGTTTAAAAAAAAAGGACCCACAAAAACCTCCATTATCAACTCCTTTTGAAAAGCTTCAAAGTTTAAACAAACATTACTCTCTTCTTCTTCCCACGCTTTATCTTCTCCCTCTCTCTCTCTCTCTCTCTCTCTCTCTCTCTCTCTACCCCATCTCACATTCATTCATTTTCTCTCTCTAAAAAAATGCAGAACAACACCCACCATAAACCACCTCGCCCACCACCATTATCAGTCTCTCAACCTTCTAAACCACCATCACCACCACCAGCCCAACCCCAACCCCAATTCCAACCTCAATTCCAAGCCCAAAACCAAGCCCAACTCAAGCCCAACAACACCCAGCCCAAGTCCAAACCCAACTCAAACTCGGACGAGTCACCCAAATCCCCACTCCGATCCGACTCACCCCACCGATCCGACGACAACGAGCTCGACTTCCCCAAAAATGGCAGCCCAATCTTAGCACTCGAAAAATACTACTCACCATTAACTTCACCTGCACCTCCCAAAGACGCCGATAATTTCCCATCTCCTCCGCACCATCTCGTCAACGTCAACCTTCATCGCCGGGAAGAAGAGCCGACGCAAACCGGCGTCGTTTCGGGGGGTGCTGGAGGAGAGAGAAAGGGGCGAATTGGAGGAGAGAGAAAAGTTAGGTTTCCGGGTGTTGAGAATATTATTGGGAGGAAATCGAAGAAAGAGGAAGTTGTTGAGAAAGTGAATTTAGGGGTTAGGGTTTTTGAGATTGTGTTTTGTTTGATTTCTTTCTCGGTTATGGCTGCTGATCGAACTCAGGGTTGGAGTGGTGATTCCTTTGATCGTTACAAAGAATACAGGTTTTTTTTTTTTTTCTCCCTAAATTTCTGCTTTGTTGCTGTTGCATAAAATATTGGTTTTTATTTGAATTATTTGGCATTTTTAATGTAGTTGGGTTTAATTTCAATTTATATTTTAATTGGTGGTGTCAAGAGAGACAAGGGCAGTAATGTAAACGGGATTCAATCGAGGCGGTATTGTGTATCACTGACTGCCAAAGTGCCAATGCTTAAACAATAGACTAAGCTCGTTGACTATTATTTTATTTTTGCTGGATAAAAATATTTTATATTTATGTGTAAATTCTGTAGTGTTTAGATGATGATTTGTGTGTTTAAAAAAATATGGGAATAGTATTATTTTCTTAATTCATGAAACATCATCTTAGCTCATTAAATTAATAAAATTTTCTGGGATTTATATGTTCTCAAAGTTTTTTTCCCCTATTTTTAGTGATATTGCATAGTTATTGCTTTAATTCTGCATTATTGCTGATTGAGATTGGTACATTTTTTTTTTCCATCATTTTTTCTCCTCTCAAAATTTGAATCTTGTGCTTTTCGTTGAAGGTAGCTGGAATCAGTAACTGTTTTTCTTAACAAAGTCATAGGATATGAATTTGCCTAATTTGTTCTGTCTCCGAATGTCTCCTAAATTCTTGGAAAGGTTATCAAGCATCCTTCTTTTCAAATTTTGTTAATTAAATTGATAGTGTTGTCAATACAGAATGCATAATTGCATATATATTTCTGCCGTGTAGTTTGAATTAAACATGATTAGTTGGGTACGAAATTATTGTCTCCATATCGGCACATATGGTGGATGGTTATAAATTGTGGGAATGATAATGAATTTATGTGTAATTTGTGAAAAAAGTTGCATGTCATTACCAATGGTAATGTGTGCAGTGTGCCTTGTCTTTATACCCTCATTTTCTTCATAAATTTTTATTACCATCCATTACCATTTGCAAGGTGGTAATGGAAACTCATAAAGAAAATCACATGTATGGGGATGGAGTTCTATTACCATGGTAGTGAACATGGGATTTTTTAATAGAATTACCCACAAATTTATCATCTTTCCCATAATTATGACCACTAACCAAACGGACCGTATGTACTTTAAAGTCATTTACTTACTTGCACGGGTTTTGAGTACAATAAATATCTTCTTTTTACGTGGGGGCCTTGTCTTTTGACATTTGCCATTTGTCTAGCTTGCTAAACCAAAGCTTTAGAACAGTCTGTAGTTGAGGCATTGATCTTTAATTATGGTAGCATGTTAGGCTATTGAAGCAATTGCTACTTGCTTGTTAAGGTTCTTGCCCATTATCTATGTTCATGGTATTGTATGTGAGCTTTACATCTCTTTTGCACGAAGGGGGGTCAACCTGATCATTTTTTCTTCTTTTATTATTAGTTATTTTATGTTAAATAGAACTTACAATGGCAGTCTATTGTGGTTTGATAGGCTTTATGTGCTATTGTGAGTAGTCTTAACGGTATGTGCTCAGTTCTCACCTTTCGATACAATTGTGTTCTAAACTATTATTCTCCTCTTTATATCCTAAAGAAGCAACTTTCTGTCATCAATCCTCACTTCAATAAAGCACACCCATTTCATTGTCATTTCTTACCCTCCTCTAGTCCTCTCTGTCCATCTTAATCCACCTTTGTATCTCTTAACTCTCTTCCTGTACTGATGCATGTGAGGGTAAAAAAGTTAATGCTTAAGCTGGGTGTTATTGTTTTTTTTTTGGTGTTGGAAGATGAGTTTGGTTGAGTTTCAGTGTTCTGATTCGTTTTTGAGGGTTTTAGAAGCTTTAAAAGTCTTTGAGAAGCTTATGGGCTTTAAATGGATTAAATTGGGATATTTTGGGATTTTGTTTCATAGATAGGTCAAATGTTGGTTGAAAATTCTGAATATGATGGTTAAGGTATATTAATTTTGGAGTTTTAGGGAATAAAGATAGGTGGCTCACTGGTTGAATGTCTTAAGGACAAATGCTATCAGAATTCAAACTACATCAACAAAACCAAAGCCTTCCTCCCAAAAGATTGGAATTGTTTTTTAGGGTTTAAATTCAGGACCTAATCCATGAACCACCTTCAAGTTCTAGAAAGGTCTTAATGGACACTTAAGAGTAGAGGTAAGAATCTTAGTCTAAGTCACTGTCTCATTGACTTGTTTCAAACAAGTCTAAAGAACTTAGAGAAATCTTTTGCAAGAAAATTTGTTTTTCATTCAACACTCAAAACTTGAGTGTAATTGGGCACCTGCATGGTTTATGACTTTGCCACACATCCTTCTCTGCTTACAACTTTACAAACCCCTAGATCTAGTCCTGCTCTTGTTCTCTATTACTACTGTTTAGCCCCTTTTTTTCATTAAAATCATAATTGATGCAGGGCAGACTAGTCTGATTCTGCGCAACCTGCAATACATCCACTGTCAAAGCTGCTTATCACTTTTGTGCATTGATGCTGCAGCAGTTTCTAAATATATGGCTAAAGTCATGCATAAGCTGGGTTAAAATCTGATTGTTGTAATATTACTTCCCTTAGTCCCCTTCCAACTTCCAGATCATTAAAATTTAATTTGACACGTGAGCGAAAATTCCTTCTAATGAATATAGTAATCAGCCAAACTTATCAGCCACACACCTTTTTTTTTTTTTTTTTGAAGAAAAGTGACATTTTAGTTTTTCATTGCAGGTTTTGTTTATCTGTGAACATTCTTGGATTTTTATATTCAGCATTTCAGGCATATGATGTCACCAGCCATATGGTCACTGGAAAACATGTGATCACCCATCATCTCCGCTATCAATTTGATTTTGTTATGGATCAGGCAAGTAGTTTCTTGTAAACTTTTATAACTCATAATATGGTTGTTATGACATTAAATGCCGTGTCAAGTTCTTGAATTCATAAATGGGAATATATGCTTTATCACAATATGAACTTATGAAGATTCAAGTCATGATAATTGTTTATGGACTATACGTCTATACTAGATTAGCCACAGTTGTCAGTTTGATGAATTTAGGCTTTTTAGAGGTCACTGTTTGGTTGCATTAATTCTGTATGGATTGGATTTGGCAGATCTTGAGGACTTGCCATTAGCATCGATGTTTAGGTTGTAGCAGATAGAAAAATGTTCCATTTGTCTACATTCTGATGGGAGACAGTATGGACTTTGTACTCTAATTATCACCAACGAGATGAACCTATTTGCATGTTGTAGTACAAGATGATGATTAGTGGCAGATGAATTATGAACCTGCCTAAGCTGCTACTACAAACTACTTGCAGCAGCTCCGATAGTAAAGGGAAACCTAAAGATTTGAGATGGCAGGTAATTTACGGAATGATCACCAGGCAATGGTTGAAGAGAAGAAGAAATAATTATGTGGATATGTGACTATTATGAGAACATACGGACTGAACTTCGTCATCATCTTCTAAGAAATCTATTCCTATCTTTTGTGTGGTTAGAGGATCAAATTATAAGGGTTAGTATGTCAGTCTTCACACTCTATGATAGCTCTGTAATTTGAGGACTTGTCTTGAGCATGTTGATTTTTGGAGCACAGATCTTGAGAAGGAAATGTCAACTTCATCTACAAATGTATATGTAGATTTCAGTCTTCAAATACCGTTACTTAATCAAACTTTCTTAATTTATGTAGCAATTTATTTTAGGCATGGTTACTAAGAACGCTTCTTTGAACTTTGCAGATACTTGCATACCTTCTGATATCAGCCTCGTCAGCAGCAGCCTCGAGGGTTGATGACTGGCAAGCTAATTGGGGGAAAGATGAGTTTACAGAGAAGGCTAGTGCATCAATTAGTATGGCCTTCTTGGCATTCTTGGGGTTTGCCATGAGCTCTCTAATTTCAGGCTACAACCTCTGCAACCGTGATTTACCGTGATTTACCACAGTTATGGCATTTCTGTATCAACCAGCAATATTTTTTTTAGCTAGCTATAGAATTTGTACAGGAAATATATGGAATAGAGAGGTGAATTTCAATCTGTGAATAAGTCTATACGACAATAATAATGGCAATGAAATCTAGAGATAATGTTCCAAATAATTTTGTTTAGTTTTTCTTATGCTGTCAAAGTGACATTGATGATAATTTTGGCTACCATTATAAATTGTTTGCTGAATCTTAATGGGTTCTCTTTCTTTTCTCCTTTCAATAATTGAGATTTTTTATTTACTAATCATCCTCTAATATGCGCTTATTTTTTATTTACTAATCATTCTCTAATACGCGCTTAGCTAATTCTTCGTAGGTTATTAGAGTTAAGTGTCAAAAAGGACCTCGTCTAATTGATTACTGCTGAGTATACTTGCACGATAAGATACCTGGCCATTAGATTACACAATTAACACAAATAATTCCTGCCTTTCGAAAAGTTGAATTTATTTTACAAACTTAAGTTCATGTAATTCAAAATTGTGAATGGATTTAATTACGGTTCATGTTCCATATGTTGTGTATCTTAGCCAAGGTATTAGGCTAACCGGCTAGGTAAGATTATAAGACCATCGTAGGCTTTTACGTATTTATGAATTTGTGTGTACATAAACGCAACTGCACATGCACATACATCGACACACGAATAATCCCACACATACATAGAGCTATGATATATTGGCTAAATTTGGGAACAATCCGATGTGATTCCAACCAAAATTCGATCCGCCTACCACTATCTTAACATCAAAATGACCTAACTTGACTAGACTCAAACTACGCATATGATTTGACAGCTCTATGTTTACATGGTTAAATTTGCACAAACAGTTGTACAATAAGTTACACCATGCACAATTAAAAGTGCAAACTTTTCACAATTGATAACTATAAAAGATAAGAGACACAATACCTAAAATCAAACCCAAAAATGTGCACAATTTCCATGCAAACACACCATCTAGAACAACATTAACATGGTAAGCACAACACATCACTATATTGATCCTGGATATAGTGACTTGGATCATAAGTGTGTGGGCATTTTAAGTCCTAGATATGATGTAGTGGCTTGGATCATACAGATGTGTCAAACCCTGTTATTTAAAAAGGGAGATGTTTTATTGTTAGACTTAAGTGGGATGTTGAAAGTTAGTTCAAAAGTTGTTGTTGAACACGCCCTAATAAAAACCCGAATAGTTAACTACTCCTTGTTTAATCAAACAATCATTGATATTCCTAACAAAAACACAACCACAAAAAAAAATATGGCTACCTTCAACCAACAATTGAGTGATCAATTTGGTTCACAAAGTGATTATTTAATTGGTTTGATGAATTAATTATTGACATAACGAACTCTCAAAGTACTTCAAAACATGAGTCGGACCCATGTTTAAATTGCCAGCACTAATGAGATTGAACTGCAGGCTTAGATAATAAGCCTTTGGGCCCATGATGTCCTATAATTGTTTCAGTTTAGTGTTTGGTTTGGGCCCATCAAAAAGCTTATAGACAAAGCCTGACAACTTAGGACTTGTTTGGCATTATTGTGGTTTTCTATTTTTTGGTTTTTTGTTTTGTAAAACCATATGATATATGTCATATAATGAATCAAAAATTAGTCAAATTTATCAAAATCATGATAATTTTTAAAACTAACAACAGAAAAGAGGAAACACCTTTTTCTTGTTTCCTATTTTTGGTTTTTTGTTTTCAAAAAAAATGAAAACTAAAAACTAAAAACGATGTCAAACAAGCCCTTAGCTTGCTAATTGATGTTCCTTTAATGATAAATGAATCATGTACTATGTACACTTTATTGGAACTAATGTGAGAAATTGTAAACCAACACCTTAAAAATTACAATTCCAAATTACATTTAATTATAATGGAAATTGAGGTGAACATGAATTTGAATACATAATGTAATCATATATGATGTAATTGTACTCGGTGACCTTGTATGGTTAGCCTGTAAAGGGACACTTGATATGGCCTGAGTAGATTGATAGGCGTGTCGCGAACCTAACAAAAATAAACCTAACTAGACCACTATTATGTAGACGGGCAAGTAAAGGTCGGATCCAAAGAGACTATCGTTCAACTACTTAAACAGACTCAAGTAACTACTAAACAAGTAACCAAATCAAATAAATGAGAATTAATAACTAAATATCAAAGTAAGACGATTAAACTAAATAATATGGTAGATCAAATACTAAAGACATCCAAGATTAAGCATTACCACGAATACAATACAATAATAATTCTACCCCCAATATATAAATCAATTAACAAGAGGAAAAGTAATCCATAGAAAATACCAAAAGGTTTCTCTTGAGTTATCAATGGCTTCTCTAATCACAATCATACTTATTCTCATGGAATCATGCAAATTAGAGACATTAAGAACATTACTCTAAATTCCTAATCATTCATTCAACTATTCTCATGATGAACTTCAAAACCCTTAATTAATTTATTCAATTCCGTTAAAACCCAACTCTCGTTGCGATTAAAATAAAGGAATAATAACAATACTAATTATCTCTAATCTAGTATTGGCATAAGCACAATCAATTAAGCATGTCAATTGGGATTATTATTGGAGAAATTAAATATTTAATTCATGCATCAATCATATTCGGGTTCCGCAAGATCCCGGATTAACAGATTACTCACACATATTAACGGAAGCAAAAACAATATTCAATGAAGAAAACATGATTAATAAGCAAATAAAAGTAAAAGAGGAAGAAAAGATGAATACCAAATGCTTGAATAAGGAAAAGTACCAATTGTTGATGAACAAAGATCAAAACTTCAAAATGCAAATTAATCTAGATCTAGAGAGAATATTAGGGTTCTAATGAAGGTTTCAAAGCTGAAAAATAACAACTAAGTCCCTTAATCGGGGTTTACAAGAGGTATTTATATCTCTTGAAATAATAAATCCCGAAAAAGTAGGAAATATAGGTCGGCAACACACTGCCCGGGCAGCCAGGGCAATGTTGCCCGGTCGGGCGCGCATAGCATTCTCATGTCTCGCGCCTCTTCTAAAGTCTTCAATCATCGTACTTTGTCTGCCCGGTCTACCAGGGCAATGCTGCTCGGTCGGACGCGCAAGACATACTCCACGATTGGTTGCCCTCGAAGCTTATAACAGCACAAATCCTCTTCCCCCTGGCTGCCAGGGCGATGGGAGCAGGATACTTCGTAGTAATACTTTGCTAATCTTTTCTCCTTCCTTTGCCCTGGCTGCGAGGGCAATGCTGCCCTGCCAGGGCGATGGGAAACCACTCCTTCATCGTAACAAACTCTCGTGACCATTCAAATTAGTCTCGTTCATCCTGAAATACATCAAAAACAACGAAACTACACATAAAAGCATAATATGATCACAACCAAACCAAACCACGCTAAAATAAGCTATGAACAACTAATCTAGACTCGAAAACTACCTAAATGGACTCTAAAAACACGCACGATACACGACTTATCATAGATCATATATAAGCAGGAATTTATCAATTATACGATTTGTACCATAAACATGAGTCTTTTATCCGTATTGGTTGTAAGTTGTAATTTGCTAGTAGCAAGGATGCATGGTCACATAAATACGTAATAGTATTATTATAAGTTGTCATACACATTTGTTTGATATTTAGAGATGTGTTTATCTTAAAAGTGCAAAATCTTGATATTGTGATGACCAAATGAGTAAGCCCCGATTTGTCTTCTCAATAAACGAAACATACATATTAAGGGGCAAATTTTTAATATTTTGAGTACACCTGCTTACGATGTTAGTCATTTTACCTGTGGGCAGTACTATATTGAGTGATTTATTTACAAGTTTGCCATTTAATTTGCATTTCAAGTTTATAACTTGTATTTCTCTCTAACTAAATTCATCTAGCCACAAGAATCTAACATAAATATACCAACCTTATTTAATTTAAAGAACTAGAAATAACAAAACATGAAGACAAAGATTATAGACTTTTGTAGTTTTGTTCAAAACAAGAATGCCTTGATATATATGAATGGTAAATGGTAGATCCAACATCTCTTTCATTCACTAAAATCGCCAAGGCAACATCATGTGAGCCTTGAATTATATTGCTTAAAATTGTTGGCTAATTTAGAGCAACCAAAAACCAAAATTGCAATTTTTCCCAACCACATACATCAAAATGATAACCATATATTATACTATCTATCTTTAATGTTTATTATTTCCATATTATTTTGGATTAATTCTTATATTCGAAAATTAATATAACATGCACGTTGCTTCATTATCCTTCATGTTGCTTGAATGCTCAAATTGGAAGAAGATGCCAAATATTTATGGGATATATTAAGAATCAAACATTACTCGACGTCCAAATCCGTTGTTTTTTCAAAGTTAACAAATTGTCCAATTAGCTTGTTTGTATTTTGGCGTTAGTGGTGCATTTTGTATGTTCATTACCTATCAATATCTATGAATTTAATTAATTATTTACCATTAACTAATCACTATGATTCCCTAGATATCTCTAACCGACGCACAAGAGATTTTCTAAGGTTTAATGGAGGATGACTTCATATAATTACTACATGATGAGTCTCAATACAATGTGTTCACTTATTGTGACACATAATTTAAAAATGTGGATTTATCTAGTCTAAATTTAATATTAATTTCGAAACGACTAAAACATTGTACCTAAGAAAATGAATAAGAATGAATCCAACAACATCAATCAAGGATATTTAAAAGTTCATGCGCAACGTAATTAGTGCCCCTAAATCCCTGATCTACTCGGCAAATAACACATTTGATGTACTCTAGGTTTAAAAAATATCCTCAACCAACATCACTATTTGTCAACAAACGAAAGTAACGATGGGTGATGCTTAAAAAAAAAAAACACCCATTTATTCAATTAAGTGCATTAGGAATTAAGGCCATTAAAAAAAATACAAAAACTAGAAATTGAAGTAGGTTAGAACCCGTGCGATGCACGATTTATATAAAATCAATTTTTATAATTTGTACTTGTATATTTTTTTTTTTTTAAAAAAATGGATAAATATAAATAAGAATTATGCACCCTCTACAAAAATATTTGAAATTTAATAGTTTTAGATTTTCATCAAAATTATGATATATTACCTGTTCAACGTCGTCTAATACATACTTGTATTTCAATGT